CTTTGCGAAAAAGGAGTTAGAAATCTTGTTGAATTTACTCGCTTGACTCAAAAACAAAATTGTACCTATTTAGGGTGATTTTAAATAAGTTACTCAGGGCAGAACAGTCGAGAATATCAATGCGAACGTAAGATTAATGGATACTGAAACTCGTCAAAAACTTAGGAAAATTTTTTTCAAATGATTGTTTTCAAAATGCATGACTTCAACAAAAAGAGAAAATTATTGAAAAAACATCACACTGAACAAATATGAAGGGCTGATCAGAAATTACCTGTCCAGCGGGTATTTCCGCGGCATCTGAGGTCCCAGCGGAGCCTTTCCTCGCAGTGATTCTAATTTCTTGTCGTACATCTTGTCTTTGGCGAACACTTCAGCAACACGCCAAGCAGTATCGTTCAGCTGAAATCTCAACCATATCCACAACCTTTTCAACCCGTAATTCAACATACCAATGGTCTGTTTTTAGCAGTTGCTTTTCTCAGCGGCATCATTGACTCTTCGTAAGCAACGGGATCAGTCACCTCGCAATAGTATATCTGTACTACATTGCCCGGATGACTAGATCGAGGGAAGCGCTTTGCACTGACTATCTTGCAAACTCTGTCTATAATCGGAGCGAGAAACTTCAGAAGAGGTAAAGTTGATGGTAGATAACTTACATGGATTATATCCATACTTGGCCTCCTCATATCCCAACACCATGGAGCGCCGCAGTTTCTCGTTTACTATGCGCTCTCTTATCTGGTCAGCAATTTTCAACTGAAATGGAGACTTCCAGTTTCAGCGATAAATTTTTCTGATTTACAAAAAGGTCAGCAATCAAGTTCGATACTAGCAAGCAAGTCACGACAAATAGTATACCATCCAATACATGAGAGAAAACAGAGATAGATAATTGAAGCAGCTTACCTGATCACCATATATGTCATTGAAGCGCAACTTTTCTGAGACCAGATGATCAAGATTCTCCTAAAATTGACATTAGAGTTCGCTCATTCCAGCGCTTGATAAGTTTGCAGGCTAA